CGATAAGGTGCTGTAGGGCTTCATAGAACGGGTCAATTTCACCCTCTTCCACCAAGACAACTGGACACAAGAAGAGTTTTTACCTGAACGCCATCACTCTGCTAAGCAAATAATTCCCTCAACACTGTCAAACTCTTCACTAAGGCTGCATTACTATTACTATTAGTCTTCTGATAGTAATAGTAGGATATAATAGTAAGAGGATCCCTATCACCCATCTCCTCCCACTTATGATTGCAGGACTATAACTTTGTGGCTTGTATCCTTACTATTTATATTGATATTGTTTCCCGATCGCTTATTTGTACCCTATGATTATCATTAAGTTTTGTACCTTATGATTGTTGACGAATGTATTTTCTTTTATGTCCACTGAGAGCATCTGCACCAAAGACAAATTCTTTGTGTGTCCAATCACACTTGGCCAATAAAGAATTCTAGTCTATTCTACTCTACTCATTTTATATATTCTATTCTATTCTATTCTATTCTATTGCACCAGCGGTTGGGGCATAGACTTGGACAGTTGTTACGTTGAATGGTTTGCCCGTCTTCCTATTTCGTTTCTAAACTGACAGCGTCCCGGCCAATCGCCAACGTGTTGCCAGGCAGACTTCCCATCCCCTTCAACCAATCGGCGGCCGCGGCCGGCTTGTATCCGGGTGGAAAACCGAGAGGCAGCCATTTGCATTATAGCACCGGCCAGTATCCAGGCAGAACTGAAACGGGCTGGCCAATCAGGGAAAAAGAAAAGGCGAATCTGCCTCCCGCCCGAGAGCTACTTTCTTTTTCTCTTTTATTTCGAGACCGAAAGTGGAGGAGATTCGTGGCGGGGCAGAAAGGCGGCCGGGATCTTGCTCTCGGGATCCTTCTCGGGCAAACGGAGGGGATCTGCTAACTCTTCGGAGGGTCCCAGCCACCTCCAGAGGATCTTCTATATTTAGTGTGTGGTTTGTTTTTTTTCCGGCGTACAAAATCGTCCCTTTTCCTTTTTTTGCAATTTAATCACGCGGGCTAAAAAGGAGAGCAAATCGTTCCAGGCCGAAGAATTGCAAGCCGGGGAGGAGGAAATAGGTAAGTGGATTCCATCCGGAAAGCGACCTGAACATTGCTGGGTTTTTTTTTTTTAATTTAATTTTTTTTTGCAAAGCTTTGCATTTTTTTTTATTTTTTGCAAAGCTTTGCAAGGAACAAAGTACAAAAATAAAACCTCAGCAGTAATTGTTCCTGGGAGACGCGAAAGGAGGAGGAAAAGGAAACGAAAAACAATAAAAGGCAGGGTTGGGTTTTTTTTAAAGCAGCACCCAGAAAAGGGCATTTCTTAAAAAATACCAGGATTGCAAAACTCCTTTGCGGAAGGGAAGCGGAATTTCCAGTTTCAAGAGCTGCAGCTGGATTTCTTTTATTATCCTTCCAGGCGGCTGCAGCTTTTCTCTCCCTGAGAGAATTTTTTTAAAAAATGCATTTGAATTTCCCTCTTCCTGGAAACTGATTGCCACCCAAGCTGCGGTAATCCAGAGTTTTTCCTGTAGGGGAGAGGCTTTCCCAGGGTTCCTCGTCGCAGGAAAATTGCCCGAGGGGTGCAGAAAATGCTTCCCTGGGGCCCAAGAAAGTTGCAAAGGATGTTTGCCTGGCACAGCCAAGAAAGCTTATCCAGGTTCAGGAGACTCAAGACTCAGTGGTGCGTGGGACGCACCCATGGGAAGAAAAACCGTTGGGAAAGATGAAGGAGGAAATAAAAATAGACCCCCTTTTCTCAAGTTCTGAGCTATCTCCACCGAGTTCCCCCCCACTCCCCAATACCGGGTATCGATCAAGGTCTTTGCCCCCCTCCTCCAAATCTTCCATTGATTGAAAACTATTATTCCGTGCCACAAGATTTACGAGGTTGGCAAGTGAAGTAAGGAGGTTTAAGTGTGTGTATGTGTGTGTGTGTGTGTGCACGCGTGCGCGAGTGTATAAAAAAGAAATAGACATTGTGATTTCCGGAACTTTAAAATATATTGCTCCCTTAGCTTTCATTAGGCACTGCTAACATCGTCAGAGTGTAAAAACCATTAGAGATATCTGCCGAATCGATTAATAGTGTATAAAGGCAGGTATCTCTTTAATGGTTTCTATACTCTGACTATGGCTAACGAAAGCGAAGGAAGCAATATATTTTAAAGTTACGGAGATCGCAATGTGTGCTTCCTCTTTTATAACTACACCTGGAACTCGTATTTTTAGGATAATTCGCAATATATATATGCAGGGGTGGAAGCCGGGGGGGTTTTCATATGAAGATTAAATAAAGAGTTAAACGCCTGCTTGGGATATTAAGAAGGTCAGCGCCGTTTTCTCCTTCCCGTTTAAGGGCACCGATGCCATGGCGGACGACAGCGGCCTGCTGGCAAAGATCATGGAAAACGGGAGCGAAATTTTGGAGGGTGACGTGCAGGGCGACTGCACCCTGCTGCTGAAGCTGAAAAGCACCATCTCGTAAGCGGGAGGTCTCGTATTTCTCTCGCGCGCCGTGATTTTCGGGTTTTCTCTTTGGTCTCAGGAACTCAGGACAAGCGGGTCCGGTTATGGAAGGCGAGGAGGGCACAGTACAGGGCAGTCGGTGGCAGTTAAATTCAGGGCCGGCGTAGTCGGCGCTTGCCCACAAAATGTTCTGCTTGATCTGTGGAACTCCCTGCCGGGAGAAATGAGAAGGAAAGGGGGAACGGAGAGGCTGGCAGAGATTAGAGGCATCATTGCAGTGGGTATTTTTAGGAGTGGTGTGGTGGGCTGCAGGTGGAGTTCTCACCATATCTGCTGAACAAAACTCCGCATTGGCGACAGGAAGGGCATCCGGCCATTGAAACACTCTGCTAGTTCCATTCAGTTGCCCAGACTCCACCCTGCAAGGGATTATGAGATTGTTAAATGATGATGATGGTGATGATGATTGCAGGGGTATTTTTAGAGACTAGGAGCAGCTTTGTAGGATTAAACATAGGAGAGTCATTCAGATCACAAAAGGTCCCCTTGATTGATCACTGGATAAATTGCACGTCCAAGTGAATCCTTAGCTAAAGGCAGGCAGACCTGATCAGTCCTGGGATGGGAGACCACCAGGAGTAGACTGGAACCTCCTCTCCATCCCAAACGATTCCGTACGGCTACAATCTCTAGGTACTGAGTTCCGTTTAAAGCATATTTTTGCCAAAATAAATATCTTCTTCTTGTTTTTCCAACAGAAAGCCTGTCCAGACAAAAGTCGACTCCATCTTGGTAAGTAATCTGGTATCTTTCCCTGGACTCCCTTCAGGGTGTTTCTTGCAAGGATATAAACGGCGGGTAAAACCTTTTGGGGTGCTCACTAGGTTGAAGATTCAACCTCTGGGTTTCACTTTCCGTCGGTTCTCAGTTCTTTCCCTCTCTCTTCCTTCTGTCCCTAACAGCAAGATGTCCAGAAGTTTTCAGATTATGCCAAACTTTACCTGTACCTTCAGCTGCCTTCGGGGCCGAGCTCAGGAGAAAAAAGGTGAGCCCCCCCCCCCTAAGCTTCTGGTTATGCTACGGATTAAGGTTTGCAGACTTTGTGGTCCCTGAGTATGTGTGAAGGGGTGATGAGAGAGAGAGGGGATATAGATTAGATATATGATGAAGAAGATAGATAGATAGATAGATAGATAGATAGATAGATAGATAGATAGATAGATAGATAGATA